TTCATCCCACCCGGTGGGACCTGAAGCATCTCCAAAAATCCCTCGCCCACCAGGTGGGACCTGAAGGATTTCCAAAGATCCTTCAGCCCACCAGGTGGCACCTTGAGTCCCTCCCGGTGGGACCTGAAGGATCTCCAAAAATCCGAATCCTTACGTTCGTAGCCGTCTTAGCCTCTTTCACATCCTAGTCCGCGGGAAGGCTTAGCACTGCCTGTTCAATCAACCCCGGCACTCCACGACGCTGAGACGAGATGTTTAAGTTTGTGCCCTGTACGGGTTTGTGACGAGGAAGTCGAAAACTCGAGCCCAAAGCCCAATTCCCGGAAGCGTAAACCTGCAGGCATGCGCGGCATATGACGTACCTGCTTGTCCATGAGTGTTTCTGTAGCCATGTCGCGTCACCTTAGCCTGCCTGTTCAGGCAGAGCCTTGTGGTGAGCCTGGCATCAACACGTGTTAGAACAAACCCTGCAGGCGCATTGGGTGAGCGACATCTCCAATGATGGCCCGACCGCCGCAATTGGCACTTCGTCCCTGCCTCCCACCTTCGAAATCCGAACCTTCAGCCGCCAACCTAGTCCAACACCTCAAACTCCAAACCCAACCCGAATTCCACAAAACCGAAGCCATGAACCGGTCTCAAACCCTACATCCTTATCCCAGCAACCGGCCTAAATCTGAAGCTTCCACCCCGGAGCCCCTTTCGCTACCCTTTCACACTGCGCGAACAGCCGGCATCAACCCCTTGCAAAGCTATGCCGTGGTAAACGTACATCCTTAGCCTCTAGCCTCAGCCCTGCACAAGCTTATCGCCGTGAGCGGAAGTACCTGCTTTGTGGTTCGAGGCCTTTCCTCGCTCTAGCCTCTGGCCCGAATATGGCCCGGAAGCTCTGAAGCCTTATTTCCCAAACCCCTCAATCCCACATGTCCAAAACGCCCACTCCCGATGCCCGTGCTTGGAGGTGGGGAACTTAAGAAGTCAGGCCATGAGCCTGCTATCGAGATTATAGGCCAGTCCTCAACCTCTGAAACTGGATTTGGGGCATGTGCTCTAGCCCAGCATCCGGATTCTGATCATCAGTCTCGCATTGATGAAGGTAGCATCAAGCCCTGAACCCAGAAGCTTCAAGATCTTCTCGTATGGTTTAGACGCGCATCTTGCCGACAACGCGTTTCAACCCCAGATTTCCCAAAGCCTAAACCCTGACCTCCGGCCCCGACACCAACCCAACCTACCCCGTTGTCGCCAGGCATCTTCCTTCAGAGTGTCTATCCGAAGTTCGGATTAGATCACAAGCAGTTCTTCTTCCGGACCGGCCTAACGCGGGATTTAGGGCTTGGGGATATGGGCTTCCGCTTTGAATAATGCCATTTGCATTGCTTTACTTGTTGTCGCTGCTGCTGTTGTTGCTTGTCGACGCCATGTACTGGTGTATCTGTGTGTTGGTGCATCATCCTTGTCTTGCAGTAATGCCACGTTGTGTTGTCGCTACTGCTAGCATCCGTGATATGGTAAAATGTGTTACAGTGACACTATTCTACTGCTAGATTGTATCTGTTTCTGTGTCTGCTCGGACTGCTGAGCTCATGGATTGCCGCATGGTTAGTCCTTCATGCTTGTGATGTAGTTGTGTTTTGTTGACAGACATGGAAGCTGATCTGAATTTGTGCGACAAAGCATTCCACTTTCCTCTTACAAGTCGGAGGCGGCTGCACGGAACCAGCTGTTCCTGTGTACTCTACCCATGCATCTCTGCTCAATTGACAGCCGATCCCTGGTGCGTGGCACACCCGCAGGAAGTGGATCAGCAAGTATGCCAAGAAGATCTTTCCGCAGTCTATGGTGGTGTCCCGACGGCATAGTCTTGTAGTTTCCCGCACTGGGTTCGTTGCTTGCTTGTGCTGCAGCCTTCGGAGAAAGACTGCCACCATTCGAGATGCAGGCACGGTGCACAGCCTGAAGCGTTTTTTTCTGCATCTTCCTGATCAGCCTGCCAGCATGCCGGCAAGATGGCGGTATATAGGATGAGTCTCACCCCATTAGTTGCATTGTATGGCGTAAGGTCGCGTCAGCATGAAGCCTGTCAGGGGTGGCCGCTACAGGCAACGTCGGAACGTCGACTGATGTAGTGAGCTTCCCTGTCTCCTAGGCAGACACAGGCCCTCGTGCCAACACAGCTGTCGTCAGCAACCCCGAAAGCCGTAAACCCAAACCCTCTGAGAGATTCTCAGGCTCAGCAGCAGGTTCACTCACCTTCACAGCCGCGGACTAGTCCTCGTTAGAACCGCATTCCACTGCCCCCACCCATAAGAATCACTTAGGAGAAGTCCAACTGGATGACGCTGCAGGGAGACCTGGCGTTTATCGACTTGGGATTCAAGGCTTAGGGCTTAGGGCCGGGCCATAAGGAGGTTCCGAGAGAGTCCCTGCAATGGTCTGTCACCGGCAGTACTACTTCGTCACGGTGAAAGATTCTTCGGTCTCATGCTTGCATTGCGGCGAGCATCTTGTGTATTCACTATTTCTGCTCATCGTGCTCTCGTCGAAGTTGCGGTTATGCTCACCGGAACCATTTTCGTGATCGCAGTTCCGCTGTCACCCTGTTTGCTGTGGTTTTTGCTTGTACTACTCGTGATCATAATGATGACCATCACGATTCTTCCGACCTGGAGAGTGTGCATAGTTGCGCTGTCACGATGATGACGATGTTGACGCTGGCGACGATGAATGTGGCGATGATGATAGCGGCGAAGGAGTCCTAAACTCTAAAACCTTAAGCCCGAAACCAGCGCATCGCGAAGAAGTGCCTCCAAACTCTTGCTGAAGGGGCCGCCGCCTGGGTTTGACTTTGGGGGACGGGACGAAGCCCAAGCTTTATAGAGAGACGGAAAGTGCAGGGTCAGCATTGATGATGATGCTGATGCTGATGCTGATGCTGATGATGACGATGATGCTGATGATGACGATGATGATGGAGAGGATGAGATGGCGCAATTGTCAAGACAGGGCAACGAGCTTGTCAGTAAGCTGTGATGCCGTTCCTCCTCGGCACTATCGCAATGATGATGGCATTTACTATCTGCATCGCCATTATCGTGGCTAAACTGCCGTTTGCGACTTATTGGTGCGAAGAGTGCAACTTACGTTCTCATCGAGGTCGTCGTCGTCGTCGTCGTCCCAGTGCAGTGTAGGGTGTTGTATCTAATGCAGGGTGCTGCCGCCTGAACAAGAGTTCCTGATTGGAAACGATGCAAAGCAGCTTCCGAAGGCGGGACGGTATAGGCCGCTTTGCTTTGCACCCGGACCATCGAGTGAACGAGCGCTCATCTCTGGTGGAGCCGAGAGCGCAGGCGGGCTTGAGGGTCCCGAGTTTCGATGATTTAGGGCTTTGGATGTGGATGCTTTGCTTGCCCTCGTGACTTGCGGCCTCGCGGCTCGCGAGAGGGATGTTAGGCATGAGTTGCGTGCCGTGATTCGCGCCGGCCGTTTGGTAGGGTGCCGGGCTTGGGGTTTGGGGTTGACTGCGATTAGGCGCTTCGTAAGTCAATGTTTGCAACAGCCTCTTCAGGAAGATGTTGAGCGTCTGGACTGGAGTTTTGAGGCTTTCCGGTGTAGGCTTGGGCTCTTGGGCTCAGGGTTCCAGCCGTCAAAGCGTAGCGAGGCATAGTGGCTTAGCATCCAAGTGTTTGCTTGCTGGAGCCGTCGGACTGTTGCAGTCCCAAATTCCTACGGTCCTAAGGCTAAAGCCCGAAAGCCCTAAACCTTAAAGCTTAAAAGCCCAACAGCTCTAAACCTTAGCAGCCGTGCTGGCACCATGCATCCCTCACCCCCAGAAAGCATCAAGCTTTGAGTCCATGCCATGCTGGCCTCAAAATGGGAGATTCTGAGAGTTCGGGGCTCTTCAGGGATTCCGGGATCCTGCTCTCTTCGCTGCTTCGCTTCATGTTGGGGGCTCGGTCCGGTCAGAAACTTAGAGTTAACATTGAAGAAAGACGAATGACGAATCGTTTAAAGTTTCTGTCCACCCGGACACTCTACGACGTCACGACGCCCGCCCGCTGAACCCGAGCAGATCCGAGCAGATCCGGGTGTCCCAGCACACTCCATCAGCTCCCCCGAGCTCAGACCGAGCTCGCTCCAAAACCTCCTTCCTTGGGGTGTCGGGCGGTGCTTTGCTGGGTTTTTTGGACTTTGGTTTCTCGTCGGCGGTATCGTCGGAACACAGACTCAAGTCGCATTCCTCTGATGACTGCACCAACGCGAGGTTCACCTCTTCAGCGAATGGGCGCTGTTTTGGGATCTGGGCAAGAAGGCTGGTTGTTGAGTTTAGGGTTTCAAGCTTCTTCACTCTCATGGACCTGCTAACGCAATTGGTCGCAGACGAGCTCTGCGATGCACTCTGAGATGCACATGCCCCGTCACGCTGCCCCATCACGCCAAACTCAAGCTGTAACCGTGTGCTGTGGGGAACTTCGCGATGCAGTCTTCCATCCTCTGAAGCAGAGTCGTTCAAGCAACATGCTGCCAGACTTCGTCCCGTTTGCAAAAAGCATCTGGACGAATTCCCACAAGACTTTGGCTCGATTGAGCATTAACTTTCTAGCCGGAGCCATTGTATGCATCGTGGGAGACCTGTAACACCCCAACTGCTAAGGCGCTGCAGCCGACTAAATCGTGCGTTCCCCGAACCCGTAAAAGAACCTCTGCAGCACCCCTCTTGGACCGCAAGCCGAAGGTTCTCTTGGAGAAGTCGCATTCCAATCTCGCAGGAGCCCAAGACGGTGGATACTCGGAGCAGATCGTCCTCGGCCCGTGATTTAGGGTAAGATGACGAGTGCATGCACAACCCTTCAACCCCCATCGCCCTTGTCTGAAATCACAGAGTTTGAGCGGAGCACTTGCTAAACGCAGCGAAACATGGGAAAGGAAGCTGACACAATCAGCGCCGAGAGCGGCAGGGCAAGGTGGCTGACGCAGAAAACCTGCAAGCAATCGAACGCCCTCGAGCTGCCACCCACCCTGGAGTGAATCCTATGCAAAAGGCCCTGGCCCTGCGGAAGCTGCCGACCTACCTAGACCCGACGACTCGTTTTTGTTGCCGAAGAAAGCCCAGGCTCCGGAAGCCCTCCAACCACCAGACCCCAAGCCCCAAATCGAGAATTTCAAGGAACCCACAGAACCCAACACCCCGTATAGCCCTTCCTTACAAACTCAAGCACGCTCCAAGCAAAAGTCCTAAAAGCTCCTCGCGAGCACGAGCGCATGGGCCCTTCTTATCGGGTCTTCCTCCTGAGGTGGCCTCCCCCTTCCTCCACAGCCTATGGGGCCTGGATCGAACGTCGAGCCGGGCTTCCCAGCCTTTGCTTGGGGCCTGCAGGTGTTCGTTTTTTTTGCTTGTTTTTATGATTGGAGGTCCTTTTTGGGCTTCAGGGGGTGGGCTTTGGGGTGTTCTTTGTTGTAGGTTGTCTTTATTGTAGGTTCACTGTCGGGCTGAAGGGTTTGGTTCGTTTCGGCTTTCGGGTTTAAGGGTCTTTTGGGTTGAAGAGGGTGTTCTTGGCGCTTCAGAATTTCTTGTTGAGGAACTCAGTTTGGGTAATTCGAATGTGGACCCCTTACCTCCCTGAACAGGTTGCAATAGGGATGCTGATGTCAAGGCCCTTACAACGGTTTATTAATCGGCCTTGCTTGGGCTTTGAATCATGTGCCACGGAAAAGGCCCAAAGAAAAGCAATCGTAACTAGTATACCCTGAGCCATACACCTTTTGGCGTGCGCGAACCCCAGCCCAAAATGCCGTTGTGCGATGTCCTGCCCCCGTGCATGAAGCAGAAGTTCGGCATGTGACAATAAGTCAAACTTCATGAGCACGTCTTTAACATCAAGTCCCAACGATACACGCATGTACAGCAGAGCTTGCTTCCGACATCTGCTTAGTTTCGCGGTGCATCCAGTTCCTGTTTCCCAGAAGCTTGAATTGGATGAGTCTAGCAGTCTTCCCTTAACTTGTCTGCGCGGTTTCCGGGCTCAGGCTCTCTCGTTCGGATATTCCATGCTTTTCTGGCATAAGGCCCGGCGCGCTTCCTCTTCCTGCAGCGGCATCCGCTGGCGGGGCGTTGCGATGGCGGGTTGGTTCTAGGGTTCTCGGGGTTCAGGAGTTTCTGGGGTTGTATTTCGGGTTTTGTGGGTTTAGGGCTTTGCAATGCGCTCTCCTGCGGCAGCTGCAGCGGTTTTTCAGCGCTCTTGCAGGCGCTGGGCCTCTCGACCATCCGGAGAGCAGGACGCGTGGTTCGAGGGCCCAGTCGAAGCTTTTTGTGGAAGCGACAGTCCTTGGAGAGTCGAAGACGAAGGCCCTACAGTAACTCGTTTAGGCTTTCGGACGTTCCGAGTTGAGCCCTGATCCTTTGGGGCATTTTTGGATGATTTGCAGAGTCCCACTGCGCCCGTGTTTCACGAGGTAGTGCAATGAATACATTGGCTTGACTTTGGCGATCGACACGCTCGAAATGTCGGAAGCCCTAACTAAGAACGGTTTTCCGGTCAAACCCTAGCAAACAACGGCACGAGCTTTGTGATCTTCTGCGTCCTCGTAGTTCCCCAGCCTGGTGCGTTTCCGCCCCCGCAAACATGGCTGCCGCCACAGTGCGGCGCAGATTTTGCTTTTGCTTCGTGTGGGAGCCTGGTGGTCCTAGTCGTCCAGGTGGACGACCTTTCCTTGGAAGACATCATCGCCAACTGGCTTGCCGGAGAGGCAAAACTTTGCCATGCCAAAGCAAAGACTTGCTTGGCCAAATGTTGTTTGTGCAACGGTATGTATGTATGTGTGTGTGTGTGTGTGATGGTTATAGCATTACGCAGTGTTTATGTCGCTTTCTGTGGGGGCTTGTTGGGATTTCGGGTAGGGTGTTGAAAAGGATTTGTGCGAGGATTTCCAAGGCGTTTCGCCAACATTTAAGCCTTTCTGGGTTTCTGTGGAAAAGCTTGCGCGCTTGTGGTGCTTGGTTATCGCAGGAATCAGGAGAGAGAGAAGAACCGAGGGTTGTGTTGGGAGTATACGGCTTGCGGATACATTGCAGACTCAGACTTCGGGCTTTCGGGTCCAGGGCTGAGCGACCTGTCGTTTGTGACAGCTGGCATTCCTTTGAAAGCCGTTGGATCAAGCCGCACAGAACCTGATCTTGTAGAATGTGTAGGCCGCACTTCGAGGTACTGTACGGCTTCCCCTTGCAGTCTGGTTTGAGGTTTGGTCTGCGCTCGACCCAGGAGTGCTTAAGTTAGGGTTTGGGATGTTGAGTTCGGGGCCGTGCTTGTTTGCGTTGCGTGCGTGTGTGTGTGTGTGCCCCGAAGCATGTCCTAAGCTCACATAAGCGCCACGCGATGGTGTCGTGAATTGAATGTTTAGGGCTGTGGGTTTGAAGTCCAGGAACGAAGAGTGGAGGACGTTGCTGCAGTTTCAGACCTGGAGGGCTTAAGGCTGCTGCAGAAACACAGACTGTAATAGTAACAGCATAGGTTGTCTCTTTCTGCACGATGCTGCTGGCTATAGGTCTGTACCATGATGAAGAGAGCCCAATGGGAAACTTTGGCTTTTGGGGGCTGAGATAGTGCATGACATGCTGCTGAAGCTCTAACTTCAGGCTTTTCAATGTTTGTAGCATGCACATATCTGCTCCTGCTTACATTCACACCGACGATCAGACTAATTCTGATCCCTCAGCAATTTAGAGTGACTCGTTAAGAGCAATCTTGTCCGGGACGCGCCAAGACATTTTCGACCCACACCCGGCTGAGCAAAAGTAGTCTTCAGGCAGTGAGCTACGGGCTTTTGGGTTCACCTCACCAACGATGCTGTAAAACGTTTAGGGTTCAAGTTTATGGTTTGGGATTCCAGGGTTTAGGGTTTATGTCACAGTTTAGGGTTCAGGGTTCAGGGTTGAGGGTTTAGGGTTTAGGGTTTAGGGTGATTCTGAAGCCCTGAAATACCCAAAATGCTTGGGATGCGAAGCCAGCCACGAACCCCAAAGGTTTGTGCAACCCCTGAAGATGAGAACGAACAAGCCCGAAATTCGAAGCTGGGATTCACTAACTTAAACCACGCAAAGTGAACATCTCGCAGTGTCACGAGCACTGTTATGTTAGTCTTGTTGTAAACAGGCTAAGTCGTCGTAGTCGTCGTCGCCCAGGGGGCCTAGGGCTTGGAGTCGAGGCTCATTGGATTTCAAGGCCTGGGCCTTACAGCTGACGGTCCAAGCTTTGTGCAGGACTGGCGCAACTACTTCGAGAAATACGGCATCGGCAAAGATGCTTACCGCGTGATGCAGTTTGAGGCACCATGACGTTGCACAAACCGCTGTTCTTGCTCTCAGCTTGGTAAGGCCGATTTCTTCCACCTTTGTCTACAGCTTTGTTTGCGTTGTTGCCCTTGTTTCTCTTGTTCTTCTTCTTGTTCTTCCCGAAACCCGAAACCTTGTCAAAAGTAGCTCGCTGTTCAAATCCAGAACTGAAACCCTCAAACCGCATTGACCCCTTGACCGTTGATCCATGGGAAGCTTCCCGAACCGGGATCTTCGTGAATTCGGGTTCGGGGCGTAACCCAAACTCTAAACGTCCAGACCCTCAACCCTCGACCCGAAAAAGCGCACCAAAGGAACTTACACCCTAAACTTCAAACCCACCAGAAGTGTGCACCAGGTTTTGGGTTCGCCCTCGATACCCCCCTGATCCGCCATAAGTGAGCCATAAGGTTTGGGATTGTCGGGTTTAGGCTTCAGGCCTCCCTAAACATCCGACGGATCCGATTGCGTGACAAGGACATCCTCGCCGACCCTCGGAAGGACACGCTTGGGTCTGGCGTGGGGTCCGGGATGCTGTCGGTATCATCGCCATCTCACGGTTGATGATACAAGTGCTGCAGTTTTTGGAGCTTGATCATATTTCTCTGACTCTTTCTGTGACTTCAGCTCGCTCGAAAAGCTGCAAACCTGATGGTTGTCCGCACTGCGCGGATACTGGCGGCCCGTAGCCATTGGAATTCCTTTCGAGAGCTGCTTAGGTCCGTGAGTTCAGTTTGGCACGGTGGCATGCGAGGAGTGTTCGAAATCGGGCTGCGTTCTCCGGGGGCTTAAATCCCAAACACAATGCTAAACCCAAAACCGTAGTGTATGACAACCCCTCCCGCATGTTGACAGTTTTGGGGCTGGGCAGGTGATTTCAATTCTGGGTGAAGAGCTGGAGTGGAGTTTTGTGATTCGGTTTCGGCGTTCAGGTCTGTAAAGGCACGGGGTGCAGTTTCTGGGTTTGGGAATTAGGTTTCTGTAAACTTACACGACCGCGGCCAGCTGTTTAGATTTTCGTGTAGAGGGCAAGGTCACACACACACACACATCTGTCAGAGCCCCGAACCCCTAAAATCGTAGTCGTAGCATGTTCTTCCATGAAGGCCCTCACAGAGCTGTTTGAGTGGCTGGGTGTGCCGGCAGAAGACTCCGCTCTTCGTGTCATTCAGGCGAGGGGGGGGGGCTTTTGAGTGAGCTTAAGCCTTAAGCGTTGGTGCTCGCTCCGAGCCGTGAGCCCTTCCAGAGCTCCAGAGCTCAGTGCCTTCTGCTGCGGAGCTCCTCAGGGCCTCGCAGACCGGAATGTGCTTCGGAGCATGCCGAAAATCATCTTTCATTTTAGTGATTTCGTCTTGCAACTGAGGGCCGTACGAGACGGGTATCGGCGCCCGAGTCAGTTACAGGGTCGAACCTCTGAACCCAGCAAGTCCCCCACTTGTCACCTACTTGCCAAGTTCCCTCAGCCTCTGCCGCCAGAACACCCACCACCCTTTTTGCATGCAAGAAACCTTTTGTTCGGCTCAATCACGAGGAAGTAGCAGTGCAAGGTTTCATCGCCCATGTAAGCAAGGGAGTAAGACTACGCCGAGAGATCGGACACTGGTACAGCCTCATGTGTGTCACTTCTGCAACCATCCAGACTCCGAGCTCGCAGCGTGCGAGCTCGTCTGGCGCCTGAGCACCTCCCCGCTGTCCCCAAACTAAATGAGCGACATTAGACCTGAACGAAGGTAAGAATGACCAAGACTGCCTGAAGCCCATACCATGGCCCATACCTCAACGACCTGCCAGGGGAAAGTTAGCAAAGATGCGAACGAGAAGCACTTCGCACTTTACTGCGCCCGAAGACCCGGTCTGGGGTTCACAGAGTATCGGGCGCCGGACATGCCAAGCCCGCCTTCGTGTTTGGGTCGGGCCCGGACATAGGGCTTGGGCCTAAGTACCCGGGAACATAATGCTTTGCTTGTGCTACTGGGCTGTTTGTTGATGCCCATAGGGGTCGTAGGGCGGCTCCACGGGCTTCGAGATCTTTGCTGCGGCAGAAGGCTCCGAAGCTGGGTGCCCTGAGGGCATTCGGGTTGGAGCGCTTAGGTCTCGGCTTGACGTCTGTGGGTGTGCGAAGTTTGTCGCAGAGTCCCAGACGAAGCTCCAAGAGGCTTGGAAGCTGCATTCGCCCAGGACCACTTGGTCCACGGAGACCACCGAATCATCGACGAGCATCACAGGCCGTCTCTGCCCACGTGCTCGGCTGCGGCCTTTGCGGGATTAGAAGGAGCGCGTTTTCTGGCATCGCATAGCTGCACGAGGGCCTTCAAGCTCACCATGCGAGGCCTTCAGGGGTGTACAGAGCGGACAGCGTTGAGGGTTTGTGTGCCACAGTGAACAGTGAGGCATGCACGGCTTGGACCGAATTCTCGGGCTTCCCATAAAGTTTCTGGAAAGGTGGCATAGTTCGAGACTCGCGTGCACATCATGAAAGCCGCCCAGACCCGCGTTCTCAACGCCTTGCACGCCCCAAGTGTTAAACCCGGGACCCTGAACCAGAAGGAATCAGGACACCCTTCAAAAAATGCTAAGCCATAAAGGCACCAGATCCAAAACACGAAACCACAAAACGCCCCCCCAACCGTAAAATCCTGCAGCATTACAGCCTCAAACTCTAAACCCTGAGCCCACCTTCCTGAGTGCCCCTGCAGGCTCGTGCAGAGATTCCGGTCCAGAGTACGCCGCTCAAGAGTGTTGGATTTGGGCGAGACCAAAGCATCCAATATGGTGCCTGTAGGATGTTTTAGCATTCTTGCTTAGGGTTCCCTAGTACATGGTTCTGACACTCGCATATTTAAGACCCAGAGGGTCCAAAGTCCCTTGAATGGAGAGCCCTGTAAAATTGAAGGAACACGAACTGAAGGAACATTCCGTCATCAAAGGGGTATTGGAATGTCCGGGGTCTTAATTCATCGCGAGGCGGCACGTGGGGTGTGGGTACGGTGGCAGGCACGGTGAAGTTCGAATCCAGGCCCAAAGCCGCAAAGCCTCAGTTATGGGCAGGCGATTCCAAGGTGCAAGTACAGGTTATTGGGAAATCCACACTGGCAAACCTTTGAGCCTCTTTCTGGGATGTGTTATTTTGCCGAGGTCCTGGCCGTCTCCTCCTACGACCTGGCGGCTCAGCTGTTTTTTCTGATCATCTTTCGGCTCAGGATGTCAAGATCTCAAATCCTTGTCCAGCGGTCGCAGTGTGACGGCTAGCTTCGATGTTAGTCTTTTGTTGCACGTCGCACCCGTGCACCCGTTATTAAGAAGCCCCCCCAACATCGCAATCCTGAGCGAACTTTCTGTTCGCTTCCAGCCAATGCCTGATGCGCGAAGCTGAAGAGCGGAAGGTTCACATGGCTCCCCACAACTGATTGCTCCAATGTCATAATGTTGCAGTGAGGCTGTTGGAGTGAGTTCAATTTATACACCCCCCCCCCCTCCCCCTTGCGTAAGTTTCTTGGCTTCAACGCCGAAGTTCCTACACGCCTTCAAGACAGCACCTTAAACTCTCTGGTATGAGCCTCTGATCTGTCCGCAGGCAAAGGTTCCGCAGATCTGTCGCGAGGCCTCACCGGCTTGAGTCAAGGAATCCCAGAAAAATACAATGATTATGCCACACTTGTATAAGGATTTGTCTATCTCATAAATAGTTCTGTTGGGCTGATGAGTGGGGCGAAGCGCCTAGAGGAGCCCCGGCAAAGCTAGACAGTTGAGGGCTCAGGGCCAGGATTTCCGGCCGGTTGTTTGCGGCGTCAGTGCTTTAACCAATCCTTGAAGACCTTCAGAGCTGTCAAGGAGGGATTGGGGTTTCTTGGGGGCCGCCAGAGGTCCGTAAGCTTGGAAGTTGTGGCCCACGGTCGCTTCAGGGTTGATAGCCCTCAACCCCTGAAGCACTTCGAACCGTTATTTCTGGAGATGGACACCGTCATAAGACCCTGGTATGTCTAAAGCCGGTACAGTGAGACTTGGAAGTCGTGTCGAGGAGCAGCATAAGCCTTTCTGACACCCAACATACGTGTGTAAGCACACGAAGCACCAAGTGGCCGCGTCGGTGCGAACTAGGGTTTCAAGTCGGTGCTTTGCAGCGCTTTCTTGAACTCCGGCTTCTGGAGGTGCTCCTCGGGGAAACCTCGTCGGCCTCGATACCGCAGAACGAGCGCACCTTCGGCGGCAGGGGAATGTAGAGGAGGGAAGTAGGAGTGACCGGTTTGAAGCCAGGCACGTAGGCCCAGCGGTCCGAAGCCTCTGCCAAAATAGTGACGAACTCCGTGATCCCGATCCAAAGCCCTAATCAACTTGGAGAGCAAGCGCAAAACACGCCGCGCCATCGCCATCGCCAGCGTCCTCGCCCTCATCATCATGATGATTGTGATGATGGTGACCATCATGTCTTGAATCCTCAGAGCAGAAGGAGCATCGAGCCATGAACCCTTCACTCCACCTCTCAAGCCCTAGCCCTTGCCTCCCCGTGAGATGCAATGGCTACATAAAGCCGTATAGAAACCTCCGAACTCGAAACCCAAGCCCTGAATTCATCTGAATTCGAGAACCCAGTCTTTCATACTCTAACTTCCCGGTACTATAATGCCGAGACGATCCCGCAGGTCAACGTTCCTGGACAAGTAAGCCTGAACCCTAAACCATGACAGGTTAACCTAAAACGAAAGCCTTCTGAGCCAACCTACACCCTGAACCCTAAACCCTAAACCCTAAACCCTAAACCCTGAACCCGAAACCCTCAAAGCTAAACGCAAGGCGAGCAAACTTTGCTCCGAGGCTCCGAGGTCGAAGCGAAGCTCGCAGAGGAAGAGGCCGCCGAGGCCCAGCTTTTTCTGGGGCGGCAGATCCTTTGGGCATTGTAAGCAAAGGAATGACAAAAAACAAAAAGCCTAAGTATGAATAGGAACAGAAATATCACTGTACATCTAACTAAAACAGTGAATACATATCTATATATATATACACATGTATATATATATATATGTATATATGTATATATGTATATATGTATATATGTATATATATATATATATATGTTCATATATGCATATATGCATATATATATATATATAAATGCATTTGGGGTTTCTGAGGAATATATAAGGGTTGGAGCCTAGATGCCTGATGTTCGGGGATCTTATGGATGTAGCATGAGGGCCTCTTTGGGGGATCAGGGTCTAGGGTTCGAGATCAATTGTGCCGTTTAGCATTTGGGACGTGTCACGCAGGCAGCTATGGACGACAAGAAGCGTTGATGAGCAGGCGCCTGCGCATCCACGTTTTCCGAGATCTAAGTCTTGTCGCATGTACAAAGCCTTTAGAAGCGATGTCTGCATAGTGCACTCAATAGCAGTGTGAATGCTGTTCCAGCATCTGCGCGCCAAAAGGCGGATGCAGGTCCAGGGCCGGTTTGGATTTAACCTGAGTAAGCCTGAAAATACGACGGTACGCCGAAGTGTGGGAGCCTACCAGTAGCTCGCACAGGCATACAGTGCGCAGAGCAGTCATGACATAAAGATGAGCATGCAGTGAGCAGATCATCCACGGCCCAACGGAGAGCGTCCATGTTGCCAGCAGCTGCCACAATGTAATGATCACAAAATGTATGGTTTGTAGGGGCCTCTGCGGATAGTTGTCACCTCAACTGTCGTGTTCCTGCTCAAGCTCTATAGCCGCCTTTGGACAGTGTGACCTTGCTCTAGTCACCTGCTCAGCTGTGTTCCGCGATGTTCTTGGGTTCGAAGAAGGGGCTCATACGTGCACTGAGGGACAATCTGCGAGGTTCCTTAGGGCGCTCACGGGGTTGAGGGTTTGGGGGTTTTGATTCAGGTTCGGTTGACAGGGTCAAGGTTCTGGATGGGATGCGATGATAGGGAGTTTGAGACAAAAGACCTCAGTAGACTCTAGCTGGCCAGAGATGAAAAACCCAGCGATTTTCGGAACACCGCCCATGTTGTTGATGTTCGCAACTCTGCACTATCCATGGTCAACGAGACCAGGCCATCATTCCCATACCGCAAACAACGCAGGGTTCTTGAAGATGAGCACTTGTACCAACGCCTGGCAAACCCTATTCGACTGTTAAGAACAAGCCACAACAGCCATTGTGCACCCAACACCCCCTGAACCCAAAGCCAGTAGCATTTAACCAAAACCGGAAATCCAGAAAACCCTAAACCCTACGCCATATTAACGTCAAGAACCCTACACGCCCTAAGCCAGTATAAGTCTCCAAGGCTGTGTCGGGCCTGGGAGCGATGGCACCTTGGGCGATGACTTGCAGAGGGTCGAGGGAGGAAGGCTGGGACAGGTCTTCGAACTTGCTTCGGACCGAAGACGAGTGGAGCGTAGTGAGCTTTTTGCATGTGAGCGTTCTGTTAGCAGCGACCAGCTGTCAGGAGCTCCAAGTTGTGGATGATGGGGTTTGCTTTCGGTGAACATCCTTCTTGGGAAGTGTTGTTGGGAGGGTTGTTCTGTTACTTCCCGAGCCCCAAACCCAAACCCAAACCACACCGGTGGCCCGTAGTTCAAAAGAACACTACCCCGAATTCGATTACGAGAAGCCCCAAGCCATCCCCCATGGTTGCCCGCCACAGCCCCAGCAGCAGAAAAGGCCCCTAAACCCCAAACCCTAAACCCCAAACCCTAAACCCTAAACCCCGCTCTTTTGCAACGCCCGAAAGCCCCCGAAATCCCAGGCTCAATCTGCGAATGACCGCGCTCTGTGCCTTGGCTTCCGGAGACGGTCCACGGTACCGGTTGTTTTTAGGGTTTAGGGTTTAGGGTTTAGCGTTTAGGGTTTAGGGTTTAGGGAGAGGCTTGGGCTTTGTAGTTCTTGTAGTTTAGGAAGTTCCCCCCCCTGCGCAGTGCTGAAGCAGTCGTCGTGGTCTTCGTCATGAGCAGCACCACCAGTACCAACCGTCACAGTGTGCTAAGGGAATATATATATATATATATATACACGTATATATATATATATATATATACACATATTATAATATTATATATGTATATATATATATATATATTTTTTTCTTTATCGGTTTCTGCGGGATCGCCCAGGCCTTTCCCTGCTCCGCCAGGGCTGGATGCGGAGGCTGCGGTGCTTCTTTCGACTCCCAAGCGTGTCATATGCCGTTTTTCAGGTCCTGGAGCTCTGAACCCCTACAGTCACAGTGAGCCTAGTAAGCCCTCTACACCTGAGCTTTTTGGGCCCCTACGTCACCGGGCCCACCTGAAAAGCCTTTGCAGGCCCCGGCTTTGAGCTCCACTCACCAGGCTGGGACGTGTGTGAAGGGCGGGGAGTTCAGGTGGCTTGGGTTTCGAGTTCTTAAGTAGGCTGGGGTCTGGGGTTTAGGGCCTGTTTCAATAGCTTTGAGTTTTTTCACAGGTTTAGGTTTCGGGGTTAGGGGTTCAGTGTTGGGGGCTATGGTTCTGGGTTTGGGTTCGGGGGTTATAGGGCCTGCTAGGGTTTACGTTATGCTTCAGGGGTCAGGGTTGCGGTTCAGGCGTCGTGAAGGGTCTTACCAGGGCCTTATAACGGGTCTTCGAGGGTTGCATGGCGGCTTCGGGGGTCAAGGTGTTCGTGGAATTCGGGCCTTTGTTGCCTTGGGGCTTTGGGCGTCGGGAGGTAGCAGGGGGTTTGGACTTTGGCTTCGTGGTTCTTGCGGGGAAGCTCCGAACCCGTGGAGTTCTGCTTTCGGTACCTCACAACCCCAAGCGGAGCCAGTACCCGAAGCTCGAAACCCCCAAAACATTAAACCGTGAACCCCTCAGCGCAAGCTCATCTCGGACCCTTAAGCCTCGAGCCTTCTCGGCGCCCAGGCCGTGTGCCAAGCAGTGCTCCAAGATGTCGAAGCCAAGGCTGCAGCACCCGGACATGTGCACGGCTGGTGTGACATGTCATTGTATGTCATTCTATGTATGCATGTGTGGCAGATTCCGGGGGGGGATGTTTCGGGGCTTCTAATTGGTTTTCCCCCTTTTTTCAGGTCAATGAGAAGATGGAGGAAGTGTGGCAGAAGGGGCGGCAAATGCTGACCCAGGCCCGGTCTTCACTTCATAGGAGGCTTGAGGAGGTTTTGTGCTGGTTGTGGTTTTGGGCCTTGAGACTTTAGGGACTTCAGGGTTTCGGGCAAGGGCTCTTAGGTCACTGCCTCAGGTTTTATGGTTGAGAGTTTTTGACAAGACGGTGTTATCTGAAGATGCTCAGTACAGGGATTTCAGTGTCGCCGGCCCGAGGCTTTGCAGGATGCCCTGAACTCTGCCAAACCCTACCCCAAGCTGCCACAGCAGACGTTCTGTTGTGAAGCCTCTAGTCGGGAGTTTATACGGAGCCCTACAAAGATGTAGGTTTTAGTAATATAGGGGCCTTTTACCTATATAATTATGGGATTCCTATGGATTCCTTATTATACGTATAATACATTAAGGCCTCTAGGCACGCGTGGACATGCCCAAACTCCACAGTCCCCGGCCCGAAGTTCGATGAGCGAAGCAAAGGTTTCTAAGTCTGTAGTCTACTGAACACCAAGAAGGCCCAAGCACCTGCCCTACAACTCTAAACCCTGCACCAGCCTTGGTACAGTAACCCCACGGAGGATTTCATCCCCCCAAAATGCGAACGTGGGGCGTTTAGAGCTCTTGGTGGCCACAGGCCTGCCGGGTCTGAGCGGGTTCTTCTGATGTCTTGCGGGCTGAGGGCCTACAGTGGCTATTTTGGGTCCCAGCGGCAGGTGCAGCAGAAGCAGCAGGAGAAGACGGACCAGATCGTAGCCGAGCTTCGTCAGCGGGGCCCTCGGGATCGGAGTGTTTAGGACTCGGGGCTCCAGTCATCAGATTGGAGGGTGCTGTTGAGGATTTTCCGGAGGTTGAGAGTTTGGTTCAGGGATTTCGGGCGAGACCTTGAGATGTGCAAAGCCGTGAGAAAGCAAGACGGGTGCTGAGAGTATAGAGTTGGCAGCGCGTTGGATTGTATCATTCGAAAGCACAATCAATCGCAAATGGTTTCAAGTCTTGGGGCTCAGAAACGATCTGACAACGGAAATCCGGCCTTTAACCTTGTATTCGCAGATCCTGAACCCCGAAGCTCCCTGGCCCATAACCTCTGGGCCTCGAAGCGCCCCGATGCGATTTAATGAGGGTTGAAGCCTTCTCAAGGTTGCAGGAGCGCCAGGAAGCCCTGCAGACGGAGCACGAGTCCCTGAAGCAGGCAGCCAAGCCCAACAAAAAAAAAGCCGAGTGGAGGGGCCTCTACAAGTAGCAGGTTTTGCAGGTAAGGGGTGAGGGTTTCTACGATTTGCGGAGCTTCGGGGTCGGGGCATTTTCGGGAAACGGCTGCGCCTGTCAAAACACTAAAGCTACCCACCCCCTTTCTTCCACCCCACTCCACAGAAGGTGCCCTAATAAATATATCATAAACCCTAAACCCTATAAACCCTTGTTAACCCTAAACCCCAAGGAACCCTTTTAACCCTAAACCCTTTTAACCCTTTTAACCCTTTTGGCCCTAAACCCCAAACCCTTTTAATCCTTTTGGCCCTAAACCCTCTAAATGCCTTCTTTTGACCCCAAAGAGCCCTAAACCCTAGAAACCCTTCTAACCCTAAACCCTCTAAATGCCTTCTTTTGACCCCAAAGAGCCCTAAACCCTAGAAACCCTTCTAACCCTAAGCCCTCAACCCTATAAATCTATAAACCCCCTTTTTTTTTTGGTAGAATTGCCGAAAAGAGAGAGCCTCTGAGCCTCTGCCGGGAGATGCTGGTCCTCGCAGCCTCACAGCTGGCGCTCCTGGGAGCCGGGGTCGGGGACGCCAAGGCCATGCGAGGCGCGGTTTGGATGCTCTTTCGGGTGCTCTTTTTTTGGGGGCTTTTCGGGGGGGGGGGGGGTTCCTGAGGCGAAGAGCTCCCCTTGAGGTATCTATCTATCTGCCTATCTGTCTATCTGTTTAAATGTATTTATATCTGTCTATATCTATCTATCCGTCTGTCTATCCATCCATCTATGTGTCTCTCTATATTATCTATCTATCTATCTATCTATCTATCTATCTATCTATCTATCTAGCTATCTATGTATATATCTATCGGTATCGTAGTTGGGGGGATTCTGCTCTCTCTCTCTCTCTCTCTGCTTGTCTCTCTCTTGCAGTTGTGGAGGTTTGGAAGTTGAGGGCCACCGTTTCTTGGCGTTAAGGGTTTAGTTTAGGGTCTCCAGCTTGGGTTAAGCGATGCGGGTCTCTATCTCTTTGGTTTT